TTTGTGTTAGTAACAATAATATTTATCGACAAAACAATTACAAAAGAGCTAATTGGACAATTGAAAAAATCGAAAAGATGACAGCATATCTACATGTTTACGGACCATGATTTACGAGTAAATCTCTGATGTTTTACACATAATCAACATTTCAAATCTCATTCGTTCGTTGCTCGTTGATATTTGCAAGGAAAATTCAGTTTTCTCCGAATGTCAGATTATCTGATATTTTCCATCCTCATGAAGGACTAAGAGTATCGTGACTGATGATTAAGTACATAGAAAGGCATTTTATGATTTTATTGGTGTCCCAAAGATTTAAAAAAATCCACAACAGAAAAATAGAGAAATAATCTGGAGAGGCCAGGATATAATGTAATAGCTATTCATACACCAATGTAGTGAAGAATATCACTATTATCCACTTTTTCAATTAATTATAACATATGAACCACCCTAAATATATTTTAGACATTTGGTTTGGATGATCTTTGTCCACTATGGTAACGATTAACATAATAAAAAAAACTTATTCCAGGGCTGGCCTTGAAAAAAATAATAAGTAGGTTTCGAGTCGAAACAACACCTTGTATATAAATATTTTAAAATCTCCTTCACAAGTTCGGAAAGAGCCGGAAAAAATAAGTGAAACTGAATGTATTTGGTGTTTCCGCATAAAACTTTTTCACCTATTAACTTGGGTCAAATCGAGAGGTTCCTATAATTAGGTGACACAAAATTGAAAAAAAATATATTTGTGGTCGCAAATGGTACGTTTCCATTTTTAATCCATACATAATCATCTACTAATTCTTATTCTGCTGATGTTTGGATCCCAACCTGATTGAAAAACTAGTGGACAAGTCCGACAAATTATTATTATCATTGACTAACTTTAAATACCCTGTATATTTAAAAACATTATCATAACATTTGTTAATTGCACACTACACTCAAAACAACAATTATGAGAATGGAGAACAATAAGTATTCCGATCAAAAGTGCCATTTGGAGACGACAAATAATTTATTTTTATTATTAAAACCTCTAGATTTGACTCAAGTTAATACGCAAAAAAAGTTGTATGCAAAAACACCAAATACTTATTGTTTCCTGCTATTTACAAATTTGTTAATGAAATGTTAAAATATTGATATGCAGGGTGTTGTTTTGACTCGGAACCTATTTATTAATTTTTTCAAGGCCGGCCCTGGAATAAGAAATTTCTTTATTTTCCAAAATATATTGGAAATACTGGGCACACAAGTTTTTTTTCTCGAATCTTTGGCTGATAGGAAATTGTTGGACTTTTTTGCACTATTTAACTGAATATGACATGCCTGCTACCAACCCCACTAAATCAGATTCAGATAGATTGATAGTCTAAACAATTTGTCAATGTTAGTCACACCCAGCAAATTCGTACATTAATTCATTCAGTTTCCAGTTTCTATTATTTGCGAGATGCAGTCTGTCTAACCCAAATAACGGAAAATCAATAGCCAACAATCCAACCCGCCTCGTTGAAACCAGTGGAGTAGGGGAAATTTGGGATGAACATCTCCGATAATGCGCTGCACATAATTCGTCAGAACGTATTTCATCAAAATCGTGATGCCACACTCACTAATACCATGATTGTATCAGAACGTTGGCGACCTTCGACTTTCCTATACATACTTCCACGGGAAATATTCCTCAGAAATATCTGGTATCATTCCATCACTAGCAATACCAGTCAGACGAAATCGGCAGGCCCAGTCAGCAATCCTTTCGTCGATAACCTCGAAATATGTCTCTACCAAAACTTGTTCGTTTATAGAACGGCATAGCTTTGGAATCCTTTGCCTATGGAAGTATTCCTATATAAGAACTCATCGAGAACGTCCAAAAGTTCAAAAAAGATATAACACTTACCTCCTCTCCCTATCCTCCCTAGTTACGCATCATGGTCTTCGAACATCATATAGGAATTTCCTTTCGTGCTCTCCAAGAGAAAATAATGGTATTTCAACTGAACGGTAATTCAACGGAGCAGTAATTCATTGGAATGTAAAATATCATAATGTAATCCATCATTTAGTAAAATGAAGGAATGTACTTTATAGGAACGAAAAACATCATACCGTACTTCATAGGAATGGTAATTCATCATAACCGTATCTCATCAGAATGGTATTGTATCAGAATCGTATTCTAACGGAACGGTAATTCAAGAATATAGAACTGTTATTTTGTCGGAATTGTATTTTGTCAGAACTGATATTCTGTCGAAACATTATAGATGTCGACCTAATGGAAAATCATAATCGTATTACTGACTTGATGATAAATGTTCCTACACTAGGTTTCGACGGAATACGATTCTGATGATTTACTGTTGCTATGAAATGAGGTGCTATTGGATTACCAATTCTATATAATACGATTCTGTTAAAATACCTTCTCGACAGAATGAGATTATGACGAATTACCGTCATGATGGAATACGATTCTGAAAAATTAAGATTTAGATCGAATACGGTTCTTATTCTATAACATTCTAACTCGCATTCTAATGGATTAAATTTTGACGACTTCAGTTTTGTTATTATACTTTCCTACAAATTACGGTTCAATGTTTTACATTGCGATGAAAAACATGCCTACAGATTACAGTTCCTGTCAATTACGTATCCTACGAATTACCATTCTGATGAAATATATTCCAATTTATATCGAAGACTAGAACCTATGACACGATAACCCACTCCACTGTTTCCCCACTAACCAAACTGATTTTTTAAACGCGTCGACACGTGTTTCGCTATCACCATCTTCAGGAGAAGATTAAAACTAAATATCCTATTCTAGTGTGCTACTTATATACTATGTATATGTCCATCCAAACGTGAACGAGCCAAGTTTATGTTTGTCATGGTTGAGTTCACATTGATCTTATATCACTAAAATATACAGAGGGCTATATGGAATAGATCCTTATTCATTACTCTATATTACTATTCTTGAATATCTCTAGGCTCTCATAGATATTATGGGTGGACATATTTCTAGTATATAAGTAGCACACTAGACTAGGATATTTAGTTTCAATCTTCTCCTGAAGAAGTTGACACTGTAATGAAGTGTTTTTGACCAGCTTCATTACTAGACTGGTTTTGATCAAAATCTAAGTACCTGAGCCTGATTCTAGTTGAATTTCACCTGTTCGAAAGCTGGAAACCTGAAAACCTGAGAGAGCTGAGTAATGCATTGATTCCTGACTTCCCACAGCTTTTCCTGATAGTAAAAGCTGATGAACATCATTACAACCCTAAAGACTTCAATATTTTTCAACCCTTTGCTTATGATATGAAATTTGATTGAATTATTTATCAGTTGAAATGATGAATGTTTAAATGCTCATAACTTTGTTGTTATTGAATATTTTCCAGCCAAATTCATTCAGTAGCATAAGCAAAGGTAGTAGATCCTGTTCCTGTGCCCATTTAGGGTGTAATATTATTTTTTCCGCGTTTTGTGTTGGAGGTGCGCATGTGCTTTTCAAGGACAGATTTAGTGGCCATGGCCATGAGCCATGACAAGGTGGGAGTTTTGACCAATGAGATTCCAGATTTACTTGTCCTCGTGCCAAGGCCAAAGCAGTGCATAAATACTGAAGACAGCCAAGGATTCGTCTCTCTCTAAGCTCTTGTCTACAAGTCTACACTACCTGATCTCCGTTGCTCTTCAAGCTCCTGATTCTCTAGCTGATCTTTTAGTGCTCTCATAGTTCATTCAAAACCAGTGTAAAATAGTTTTGTATAGTGATTCCTGTTACACATGTAAGTTTGTATATTTTTCACCAGTGTTATTCATCCTGTTTATAGCCTCATTTCATTCCTGTTGTTTTTCACACCGATACTCACCCGACCTGTGTAAAGAATCCAGAACTCTAAATTGAATAAACGGATTTTGTGATTGCATATTTCCTATTTCCTTCTCTGTTGTCATTGTTTTCAGTTCCAAATAGTTCAATAATTTATTTAGGGATTTTCAATATTTTCATTTGTCAAAATTGCAGAATATTATTATTGACTGACGACTGACACTGACAAGCCAGTTAACAACTCTTCTTCTTCTTTTCCTTGAGAAATCCAGTCCTGTGCACCGGTGTCTCTGTGCTTTGTATCCCGTCAGGCGGTGTTCTAGGTTTCATGAACTATTGACATTAATGGATAATATAATTAATTAACCTCACTAAAAATCCGATATTAGAAAATTAGAAAAATCGAAGGAAAAGAAAAGAAAAATAGAAATTGAATCTGTTTAATTCGTTTAGAACTGTGTTTCCGATGCTCCAGGTAGAAATAATGAAATAGTTGAATAAATAATTTTCCAGACCTAACCTTAAAATATCAAAGACCTGAGAGATATTTTGCTTTGATTCCTGTAATTATCCAGACCAGAAATAGCAACCAGTATTCCAGGCTAGACCCAGGGTTTGTAATTAAAGCCTACACTCCCTTGGCTACTTATTGATGCCAGGTCGATTCAATACCATTGACCCCTGGATTATACTGTGGGTACCGAGGTAGGTATACCTCCTGTACCTTTCTCCACTGTTGCTACTGTGGGCCTCCTTCCCGACTAAGTTGGGAGGAGCAGGTGAAGTAAATCACCTTTATCAAAAATCTGGCGCTCGAGAATCCCTCCTGTCAAATACCAGAGTAGTCTCCTGTCCTGAACAGAGCGCCAAAGTAAGGGCCGCAGAATAAAGACCCTTTACAACACTGTAAGCGGAGCACGTGTCGAGGTAAATAAAAATCGATTTGGTTGGTGATAAAACAGTTTAGTGGATATTCCTATAAAGATTATAGTTTGATTCTTTATATTCTGACGTTGTAGGTGTCCCCTGGATGATAGATGGGGTTTTTCTATTCATCGAAATGCGAGGGTGGTCACCCTTGAAGCAGAAAAATTTGTGAAATTATTCATTGTTTTCGGACGACTTACTCACCACAATCGAATTCAAGCCGATTCCGGTGATGTAAAGTGACCAGCTGGGCACTGTCGATGTCTTGAAGGGATGCCGAAGACTTTCATCGTCGCAAAAGAAGCCCCTTTGGTAGGCGCTACCCCACAAAAAGAGGAACAACAGAGGCCATCCGACTGGAATCAAAATATAAATGAATAGGTGCTAATCTTTATACAAAGTGCTTTCGTGAAGTGCTGGATGAATTAATTTTCAGCCATGCTTTCTATTTCTAAAGAATTTCCTGAGACAGGTCGACTTTTTTCGAGGGGATAACAACTCTTCAAATAGGTGTACACCATGAAATTTTAAGTACTTAAAAACCATTTGCAATTAGGTAAGCTCCGATATGGTCTTTAATATTTAAAAAATACAGAATTATGACAATTCCCTGAATCTGTATCTATCAAACTCTATTAGAGGTTTGCTCTACTATATAGGAAAGCTTGTAACAAATGCTGAAATCCACAGTCATCCTACTAGGGCTTCAAACAAACTCAGACCTCTCAGATACACCTAGGACTTGCTACAAATGTTACAGCTTGATCGGAATTCTGAAATTTCTGAATCTTGAACTACCCTGTATTTGTTTCAATTAAATGTCGGTAGGAAGTGAATCAAAAGTTAAAATAGGAACAAGTAAGCCGTTTACACCAATGATGAATAGTTTCGACACAAAAAAATCCTAATGTTGATAATCTCGATTTTGAACACCCTATATCTCTGTAATCATTCCCGCTAGACCCCAAGTGTGATGCATTGATAAAATCAGCTCTTCAGGGGCAATATGAAAATGCAATAAAATACGGAGTGTTCCATTTGAGATAACAAAATTGTTGCTACCTTTCTATAGAAGCGGCAACGCCGCAGCGTTGAAAATATTTCAGAAGGATGTCCCCCTCGAAAATGTAGTTGACGTGTTCCACTGTTTTTTCATAATCCGGTTCTGTATATATTTCCGGATTGTTCCCTATCTGTATATCGTATTAATCTCGGTATTAATATTCTGTTTCTCAATTTGTATACATAGGACTAGTAATAATGCATTTCTTCGCAATTCGTATGTGGCGCTAACCTTGAAACCTTGGCGCTAACTAGAAACAGTGAAAACGACTCGATTCGTATTCTGCATGGTGTGGTATCATGTCTCGTAATATAATCTCATAACTACTGATAAGGCAGGTTATGCATGTAAAGATCGATGTTAAAATGTCACCGAACACCGAATGGTACTTTTATTACTCATATTATTATGACTATGCCTATACTCATTGCTACTACATGCACCAGACAACTTTACGGCTAATGATTTACGGGCCATTATTTCTGGAGGCGCTTCCTCGAGCAATTCCCAATGAGCAATTCCAATAAGAGAGAAGCGTAAGTAGGTATTTTCTTTAAATAGAGGGAGAACCGGTCCTGTATAAGTTTAAAGTGTTCACTTCTGATTCCCTAGCGTATACTCTTTAATTTTCAGATAATACTCACATCCCGATTTTTTCATAAATACCTATATTTTTGGAGTCAGGAGGTCCTCGAGATCATTATTATTTTTCAGTGAAAAATTCAAATTGAACTATATCAAAGCTTCTTAGTCTTTTCCAGACTAGACTAGTTGATGTATATACAGGGAGTATCTAAATAGCTCCGAAAAAATTCAAGGGGTGATTCCTTGTGCATGATATTCTAGCAAATAAAGTTCATAATATATATGTCCTAACTTGCTCTGTTTTTGAGATACAGGATATTGAAGTTGGAAGTATTAATTGTCTTCATTTATAATAATTTCAATAGTTCAATCTAATAAAAAGATCAAACTGAGAAAAACCGGTGGCGTACAATGACATTCACCATAAATATCGATATATTGAGATAACGAAATTTCGTACATGTATATTTTACGAAAGCGTAGAAAGGCCACTGTTGTGTGTATTCTATTTAATTTCTTTATTCAGACTTTAAAGTCTGAATTCAGACTTTTTTCTTTGAATTCAGACTTTTTTCTCTGAATTCAGACTTTAAAGTCTGAATTCAGACTTTTTTCTCTGAATTCAGACTTTTTTCTTTGAATACAGTATCTTTGCATCATGCCATGCTACCCAACCATTGTTGAGTTACTATCGTTAATTACGAATATAGTTCTCGAGTTATTGATGATCTATTTAATCATCAATCTTGCATTATATCAGAAGGATTGATTTGGTCATAAGTTATACTATTTTGGCAGCACTTATGCTGTCAACTACCCTATGAAAAGTGAGACTCACCATATATATTATATAAACTATATTCTCGCTTTTTATATAGGGTATAATAGTTATTTATGTATTAAGGGAATTATGAGGGCCTTAATTACCGATGGCAAAGTTTGCGCCCCGAGGGCCTCTGGCCCGAGGGACAGCAATTGCCAGAGGTTATTAAGGCTCTATAATTCCCGTGATACATAGATAATTTTATTTCTGACTGATTTCATTCATTAGATACCTTCCCGATTGGAAGTTAGACATGTTTTTCCGTATAGTTTCAATGTCATCAGAACGTCAGATGATGATCTTGACTACCGCGAATAGGAGATTCCTTATTGCTACGTTATTGCGTGGTTGTTGCTATGCATTTCTTATTTAATTTTAGCTAGAGGGAATTATAGCATCTATAACATCCCAAGGGAGTTATGCGAGGAGTTATGACCCTCATTATAGATATCGTAACTATGACGATATAAGCTTATAATGTCACTGTCAGAAATAAATATATTTGAATAAGCATCACATCATTTATTATAGACGTTTTGACGTAGTGACCTGCAAATAATAATAAAATTAATCAACCCCATGAAAAATAAATGACATAAAAGGTAGGTATACTTACTGAAATCAGTGTATTACCCTCGGTATTACCTAATGTGAATGTGTTATTCAATGAATTAATAGAAAAAAGTCTGAATTCAGAGAAAAAAGTCTGAATTCAGACTTTAAAGTCTGAATTCAGAGAAAAATGTCTGAATTCAGAGAAAAAAGTCTGAATTCAGACTTTAAAGTTTGAATTCAGAGAAGAAAGTCTGAATTCAGAGAAAAAAGTCTGAATTCATACTTTAAAGTCTGAATAAAAAAATAAAATAGAATACACACAACAGTGGCCTTTCTACGCTTTCGTAATATTTCATTTCTCGTTTCATTTCATGCCCGATTTTGAGATTTGAGATGTTGAGAATTTTCCGAAATTTTTATCAGGGGAGTAGGAAATAGGTGAGGCTGAAGTCATTTCTTTTCCCAACTTTTTTTTCTATGCAATTTTCGGCAGTGTGACCAGAAAATATGGAAATATCATTTTTTACCTATATGATAAGTCCACATGAGTATATCGTAGCGATGCAACATTCGTGATATCGCAGTATTGCATCATCGTTACATCTCAGAGATGTCATGTCGCAGATGTTTTTGCTTCGGTACATCGCAGCGATGAAACATTTGTAATATCGCACATGTATTTGCTTATATGAACATCGCAGCGATGGAATGTTTGTGATATCGCACTGTTACCTGAACGCAACATCTCAAAGGTGGCATGTCACAGTTGTGTGGCTGGCGTATACATAAAATGAAAATAATTCAAAACTTCCGGAATATAGGAACCTCGATATCAACCTGAAATAAATGACGAGACTGTATGCAAAATGATCTGGAATGAAATGAAAAAAAGATGGTAAAAGAAGCGAAAAAAACATTATTGGGCTTCAATTATTAAGTCAAAAATGAAATTTTTTACAGGTTAGATTGGCCTGAAAGTTTGAATGCGTCGAGGAATGCTTCATTTGTTTTTTCTGTTCAAGTGGATTTATTATTGTAACAATCAAATCGGCTCTAAATACACCCAAACACTGCAAATGTATAAATAAATTCGGAATTTCCTAGTAGATACAGTAAGTAAGTTTGTTTCGGAGGTCAATTAGTCCATTTAGTTGGCTCTTGAATGAGAATATAAATAAACACCACATGATCACTTCGCCCACATCAATGAAATCGAATCAAGTTCACGACTATGACCACACACAACACACCTCATCTTCCCAATAATAATTTCCGAACCCGCCTCGTAACAAACCAGCGCACTATTGACCCAGTTGATGACATAACCTAGCGCCGAAAAAAAAAGAAAAAACTCACCGCAATTCAACAGCAACACGTCCAACACCACCTTTTGCCATTTCACCACCATCACCTCGTTCGACATGGTCATCAAAGGGGCCGAAGAGTTGCTCTCACGCCTGTTCATCTATCATAATTCCCCGATCAAAACAGATATATACACACACAATCTCGCTTCGCACCTGTCAAACGTCAGATGAAACAACCGAGCGCCGCCGCTCCATTCATCGTTCTAGGCTACGCGATTCCGAATTGTGGGCTGTGCACGAAGTTCTCTCTCTGCGATCGTCAAATGTTCAATGGATGGGGACGATATAGCTTGCTCGATGTTTGATAGCGTTGCGTTTGCGTTGCGTAGTCTGAAATCCATCTCACCTGGATCTCCCTCCCAGGGGACAATTAAGGAAAGCAGTGGCGTAGACGTATTAACCCATAGTATGATGCAAATGTATGGAATAAATTCATTTCAAAACAAGACGACTTTCGAAAAAAAACCAAAAACTAGAGTTTAGAACTTTTTTTTCGACGTATTTTTTCAACTAGACGACCCTTCGATGTTCAATTCTCAGTAGCAGACCTCTGCAAGATTCAATTAATCACATGATAATCCATTTTAATTTCAATCTTCTTATGCAACATTTTGACTGTTGAATAGACGATCGGTAGACCTCTCAATCAAGGTGTCACATGACCCCTATTTGTATTTGAAGAAATCGTCCATTACGTCTTTACTCCAACACCGTTGACGTAACATCTCTCATATGAATATCATGAGATGAGGCTTCAGAAATTAAAACTCACGTGTTTTTGGAATTTTTTCAAATGTCGCCCATTTCTGAAATAATGAATTTATTCCATTATACACTACACTGTTTTACCACTAACCAAACCGATTTTTTAACGCCTCGACACGTGTTTCGCTAACTATGTTAGCATCTTCAGGAGAAGATTAAAACAGTTTCATTTTGGTCCTTCGTCAGAGCTGTAGGAAGAAACTTCACTTCCAGCTCGTTTCCTCCCCTAACCAAGGAAGATGGAACACTAGCCACGACTGCCCAGGAGAAAGCCATCATTTTTTTGCATTTATTTGCTGGAAATCCCACTCTGGATTCATCGGGAAAACAACCTACGAACATAACGCCGATTGACAGTCATATGCACAGGATTACCTTTCGCCAACGTACAATAAGGAAGATTTTATTGGGTCTCAACACCAACAAAGCTTGTGGCTCCGACGGAATACCACCAATTGTCCAGTTGCTCAACTACTCATACAAATTGGGGATATTCCCGTCCAACTGGAAAATTGCAAGAGTACAACCAGTTCCTAAAAAAGGCAAAAAGACCCTAGTTAGCAACTACAGACCGATCGCACTGCTATCTATTATTTCAAAGATTATGGAGAAAGCTATCAACATCGAGCTCATGAAATATCAGGTATTATCAACGATAGGCAATATGGCTTCCGTCATCAGAGATCAACTGGTGACTTTACGTCACACGGTCACACATATACCTATGGCAGCAATCTATTGAAAAATATGGTGAAACCTTAGCCGTGGCATCACTTGATATCTCCAATGCATTCGATCGAGTCTGGCACCACGGACTCCTCAATTCTCGAATGAGTATCCAATAACTTGGTAGATTTCAATGCAAACAAAACACAAGCATGCCTTTTCTCTAGAAAAGCCGATCTCACTGTGCCCAACATAAGCTTGTCAGGAGTAACCATACCTTTGAAGACATCCATTTCGATGCTTGGTATTACTATCAGCAATAACCTTTCTTGAGAAAATCACGTGAGAACAATTGATAAAAGTGCATCCAAAAACTTGGTTTTCTGTTTCGGGCCAGGAGCTATTTCACTTCCAGTCAGCTGCTGATGATCTATAAGTCACAGATCCGACCTGTCCTGGAATACTGTTCCCATATTTGGAGTGCAGCACCCAAAAATACCATGAAAAACTTGCATTCTGTTAAAAAAAGGGCAATTCGCCTCGTGGGTGATGCCTCGCTCACAAACTCACTCGCTCCTCTGGAACACCGTAGAAAAGTTGTCGATTTGGCTCTATTTTATAGATATTTTCATGGACGATGCTCTTCTGAAATACCAACAATTGTTCCTCCCTTCGCAGTCCCCGCGAGATTAACCCGTCGAGTTGAGGCTTCGCACCCCTTCGTGGTCACTTTGGAGACCTGCAGCACATCTCTTTCCAAAGACTCGTTAATCCAACGAACAGCGAGGCTCTGGAACACATTGCCAAAGGAGGTGTTTCCCGAGGCATATAACCTCCAGAAATTCAAGAAGAACACCAATTCCTACTTTATTTCCCTTGGTTCTTACGATGTTCTCTGAACATTACAGGATATCCCTTCTCGTGGGAACCAGCACATAAAAAAAACATAGCGTATGTCTCACGCTTCAGACATATTCAGTGCAGAAAACTTAATAACTTTCATTTCATGTTTTTTTAGGTTGATTATTTTCTTGTGTATCTGATCTTGTTTCCAAGTATAATCAGACCCTTTTACTCACAAAGTGACACCAATGCCCATGATATATCACAATAATAGAAGTAAGGGTTCTTAATAATCAACGGCCTTACAATGGTCAATATGTGTATACATATTATGCTGAATCACTGGACTAACCTGAAGTGAAGACAGGACAGAGGGGTTACTCAACGTATACTTATCTACCCAGTATTGATCGAAAATTCCTGGGAAATTCGGATTACTCATACCAAACCGAAGAAACTTGGCAAACCTGGCCCTGGTGTGGAATTAATGCTGTTGCATGACTGAAATTTGCGTGACTGAATTTTGATTCCGTTTCAAAACAATTCGCCAACTTGTGCTAGTCACGTACAATATATTTTAGGGCGCAAAAGATGTGAATTCTCCTTTGAATAGGTGAGAACAGTGATTTCTGTAATGAATACCTGCCATAACACTATATCATTGAATCCAACTATGAGTCCTTCAAAGTGACACTTTATTTTCCTTATTTTTCAACGACAACTTATAACAGAATGAAGTGCCAAAGGAATATAAAAGCACATAGTTTGAAAATTGAGCTTTTGTTTATAACCCGAAAACAAAAGACTAGCAACTTTTTGTCTCCGCCAGTGAATTTGTCTCAAAAAGAGAGATCGAGAATGCACTTCAATTTTTTCGTAGGACCCAGAAATGGCTGAAATTCATTAGTTTCAGTTTTATTTCCTGTTATTGAAGTAGACCTGAATAATTATTTTTTCCTTTCTTTCCTGTATTAGGTAAGGATACGATTTCAGCCAGGTTTCCGCATTTTTTAGGCCGAAAACCCCAGATACTAATTTTCATCTCGTTTTAAAAATAATGGGATCGTGATTACAAAACCCGTCCGGCATATTGAATTTTCCAATTGTTTCAAGAGCATCACAATCTCCGACCCCGAAAACCACCAATTTTGAATAGAATCAGATCATATAATTACAAAACTCGTTCACCATATTGGATTCGCCATCTTGAATCCTCCAATTTTAACCAAAGAATCATAATCTCCAACCCCGAAAACCCTCAGATACCAATTTTGAATAGAATCAGATCATAATTATTACAAATCTCGTCCGCCATACTGGATCCGTCATCTTGAATTTTCGAATTTTGAAGAAATAATCACAATATCCGACCCCGAAAACCTCCAGATACGAATTTTGAATAGATTCGGATCATAATCACAAATCTCGTCCGCCATAATGGATCCGCCATCTTGAATTTAGCAATTTTGGCGAAAGAATCATAATCATCGACCTCGAAAACCACCAGATACCAATTTTGAATAGAATAGAATCATAATTACGAAACTCCTCTGCCATTTATTTATTATTTTTTCTCTGAATTGCATGATGCATTGCCTCCATAATTATGTACAGATACACCTGCCAAATTTCAAATCAATCGGTCGATTATACCATACAGGTGAAGCTATAATAAAAGTGTGTGAAAAAATATAACATTTTCATATGCTACTCTGTAGATGGCGTGAGTTATGAGGAGAATCTGGCAAAAATTACCATTTTCTAATAATATGTATGTATGTACTTATAGTCATATGAATTATAAATTGCAATCCACTTGAAACACCATTCACGATGAGTGGCCAAGTCGAGAGACATAAATCACTGCCGAAGAGTTACATAATGTTGTGAGAACAGCAATTGAAATGAAATGTTGATAAAAAGCCAGTCCAGTACTCCACCACATGGTAGGCAAGAACATGAAGATAACAAACATCTAGCCTAGCAGCAAATCTTCGAGAAAAAAGACACTTGAAATTCTGCTACTTCGCAAAATAATCCACATGTTATGAAAAAAATATCTAGACCTTTGGTTTGGCTAGTCCTTAACGTTTGGAAGATATTACATCATATCGAGTAAAAGTCTGGATTGAAAGGAAAACATTGAATTGAAAAAAAGTTTGAATTTAAAGAAAAAAGTCTGATTCCAGAGAAGATTTCTGTAATCACAGATGAAGGTCTGGATAAAAATGGAGTAAACGATACGCTTTCCTAGGAATCTTTTGTGGACTCTTCCACATTTACTATACATAGATAGATAGATTTATTCATCCATTGAATTTACATTTTTGGAAACGTCATAAAGTTTGCAAAACAAGAACAGAAAACAACAGGGATTATCTATATATGTAGAAAGTACTAATTATTAAATAAAACAAACTTCTAGGCAGAAATTACACACACCAAGGCCTAGACGAAAAAAGATACAAAACGAAATAGGCAAACACAAAGGTGAGCCAATGTACCAATGCTTGTATAGAAATCCGCAATATTGCAGATTGTGTGAAATTATCAAAAATTTAATGTTCAAATGGGTTGTACAATTCTGATTAAAATAAATTGAATTCGATCCCTGTGTTTCATTTTTATTTATCAAATACAGATATATCCGGTCAGCTGCTATCTTCATTATTCAATGTGTTGAATAATTTCAAAGCGGTATGAATTTTTCCTAATTTCGATAACGATAATAATAACAATAAATAATTATGAAATTGACTATATATTCTATGAATAACGGTCTTTGTACGATCATGTTATATTTAAAGACACAAATTGAACTGCTATACGATATCCAACTTTCTCCTTGAATTATTGTAATGA